GGAGATCATGGAGCAGCGGCGAGCTTGTCGTTGCCATGGCGCAGTGCTGGAGGATCGACTTGGCGGATTTCAGGGGTCCTCCAACCAATCGAAGCATCACCAAGTGCTCTTACATACTTTGTTTCATATTTCTCTTTTCAGTAGGTCCCCACCGGGGTCGAAGCGAACCTAATCAAGTGCATACGAAATCAGTGGTGTTCGCTAAGTCGTGGTACACTATTAATACGTACAAGTAGGCAAAGCGTGCCTACTTGGAAATAGTGTACCCAGATGACCGGATTTATCTTTTTTGCGATCTTCCACGGGCAAGGGAAGCGACGAAACAACTCGTCGGCATTGACCTCGCGATCGGATCGCGGTACCAGCTCATCGGCGAGACATACCTCGACAACGTACGCAACATGCATCGGACGATTCAGGCTCATGGAGCCGAGTAGGGCGAACTGCGACGCCAACCGAGAGTGCGCACTGGGCGTGCGGATGTTCCACGATGCATTGCAGCTTCGACGCGGCGGTATCAAGACGGTCTGCGACGTCATTGAGCAGTCGCTCCACCAAAAAGTCTAAGACAACCTGCGCCAGGTCGTCTGTGAGACGATCCCCGGGTACCCTTCCTATTAATATAGGCCAACAGGGCGGCGCTACATCGTTATCGCCGTAGGTAGACTCATGCAGAAGGACGAGTTGCAGCATGCGGCCGAGTGCTCGCGCCAGCTGTTGGCTACGAGCGTTGCCGTCTTGGCGTGGGTCGTGCCCCAATGACTTTTCTGCTTCTTGTCGTACGCTTCGAGCATCGATCACTGATTCTCCTACCATGAAGCAAGGGTAAAATGAGAAGACATATTCTCTCAACAATACGGCCTGTAAATACATTCAATCAGCCAAAAAACTTAAGATGAAGATTTCCCGACGCTGACAACCCTCAACGTCATCATCACCCTCGTGTCTTCACCGCGGTGGCTTCTTGAATTCAAATGGATAGCTATTCCAGAGTACGATAGAGTCCTTATTCTGCGTTTTTCCAGCCGTTCCGCAAGCGAAACCAACCGACGAGTGGCCGCGTCCTCCGAGGCGCGGCCGTCAGTCATCCAGGCCGAGGCAGAAGGAGGCCTCGTCAGTCGACGCGACGCCTTCGCCTGCTGCGAGCCGCGCCATCAGCCCAAGCGACGCTGAGCGATGAGGAACTCATCGCCACGCTGTACAAGACGACGTATCCGAGAAAGACGACGACATGCTCCATCCAGACAACAACAAAAACAACGGTCAGGGGGACCACAACAAACATCAGATCCAACACAGAACCAACATGAGCACCGAGCACCGAGCACCGAGCACCGAGCACCGAGCGCAGAGCAAAGAGCACAGAGCACAAATCAGCCAGCCGCCGCCGCCACCGCCAACGCCATCAGCCATCAAGCTTCAGCAACAAGATCCATATCATCCGACCCCGAAACCCAAGCCATCGACCCAAACAAAGAATTCAAGTCCAACCCGCCACGCCGCCAAAACGAAAACAAATGTATCGAGCCAACCGCCCAGCTCCACGCCTCCAGAACGAAAACAAGTCAATATGCCCAGCGCCAAAACGAAAACACTTTCATGTACGACGACCGACCAAGACGCCAAAACAAAACAACTCGACCAGTGTCGGCACCACGAGCAATCAACCTTCATCAACGCCAGACCACCCGACATTTCGCGTCGGTCGCCAAGCCAAAGACTTCCATCAGCCCGCGAGTTCAAGTGAGCACCCCCTGTGTACCTTCGGGTGCTGCAGCTCCAGGTCGGCCCACGGTCGCATCCAAGTGGAACTCCGCAACACGGGTCTGGCTCACGACCGCGGACGCTGCTGGTCGATCAAGTAGCTTGACGATGGACCACATAGAAAAAGAAAAACCCATAGTGGTAATCCCGGTAATACACCACCTGACAAGAGTACGATAGAGTCCTTCTCGCTATTAGGAGAATGTGCTATTAGCCTCGCTGTGAGCACCTATAATGACTGTAGTATTGAGAGCGTGCGACGAATCCGCAAAATCGCAACCTACGCAATCCACTACTCGAGCGTGAACGCCATCGACTCGACGCCCAGCAGCATAAAGAGCACGTTTCTCACGAGGCCGCGGGTCGGGTACAGCGGCAGATCGATGCGGTTGAAGCACGTGTGCACCTTGGCGAGCCACCCGCGACTGTAGGTTGTCGACTGCAGCGTGAAGAGGCAGGGCTTGCCGTCATAGCTCGTAAGCCCCTTAAACCCTTGCAGCGGAACGTGCGCCGACTCGTCGCGGTCGTAAAGTGCAGGAGCTCGGTGCGGTCGGCAGCACTCATGTCAAACTCGAGAACGTCCCAGAACCACGCGGGGGTTGTCGTGCACTGCAGCGAGCGCGACACGATCGTGTGGGCGCGCCAGTCGTCGAGGTCAATGTCGGGCGTGCCGCAGAGCAACAACTCTAGCTCCTTGTAGTCCAAGACCGACACAAGCTCATGGGGCAGCTCTGCGTGAAAGGCGCGGACGAGGCGTCTGATTTGCTGCGACCACTGCCCACTGAGCAGGTGGCGCACCATCGCGTCGACGTACATACTTTGGTTGACCTCGATGTGGCGTCCGTTGGGGACGAGATCGATGACAGTAGTGCGGCTGGTCGCCGTCACGCTAAAGGCGAGTGCGAGCACGTCGACAGCCCCTGACGACGCGATGTACCGGAGACTACGTGGCGGACGTCGAGGATCATGACGGGTGTGCTGAGCAGCGCCTTGAAGAGCGGTACGCAGAGGCGCACCAGCAGAACCTGGCCGTCGATGATGGCTTTCCCAAGGAGCCGCTCCACGGCTTCCAGCTTGTCCAAGTCGTCCGATGACATGGCGCACGGGTGCGGCATGTACGCATTGTCCTTGGTCGCCACAAAGAGGGTCGACGACGGAATGGCTTGTGAGAGGACAGTGTACCACTTGCGCTGGACATCGCGTCTTCGCCCGCCATCGTGACCCGCGTGCGCCGGCAGAGCTCGTCAACTGGCAGCTGCACCAAGAAGGCGAGTGACTGCTCAAGGAGCTGGTCGCGCGCGACGACAAAGCCGCTTCGCTCGGCGTCCGACGCATCGATCTGCTCCAGCATCCGCGCGTATTTCAGCGAGAAGGGCAGCGCCACGAGCGACGGCCCACGAGTCGGGAATTGGTTCACTCATCATTGGCGTCGATCCCGGCGTCAGTGGCAAGCGCACCGTCCAGCGGCGCGTAGGTGACGAACGTCGTGGCCGCGACGACGACGCAAACGCAGGGTGTCGGACCCAGACGCTCGTCGGCGTGGTTGGGACGACCGCTGCGTGCGTGCCCTACACCTCCGCTCCGCCGATTTGTCGATCCAGTATATCGAGTAGTACCACGCAGCCTTCTGGAGTGCGTTGAGCTGCGCGATGTCTCTCGTACTTACTGTGCGCTCGGCGACGTTGACGGACGATGCGAGCACAACGCCTACGCGCCGTCTCTGGGCGCACGTTTTGCGTGCGTCTAACAGTGTACCTCGCAGAGCGTGCAATCCTCCTTCTCATTGGCGTCGTGGAAGCTGCAGCACCCCTTGGATGATGTCTCGGCGCCACTAAGGACACACATAAAGCCTTGGCTGGAGGCAAACGCATACGAACCGCGCACTGGTTTTCCTTGCCGCCGCGCCGCGTGCCGTTGAGGTTCCCGAGGTGGCTACGCGCAGAGCGTGACCGCACATTACTCGTTGCAGAGGAGCTCGGCCTCCGCTCGGCTCAAGCACGACGGCTGCTGCGAACTGTTCTTGGCGGTGCGCCAGATCGCAACCCACGTGAGAAACAGCCAGAAGAGCACGACGGCCACCATGATCAACACTGTGTCCACCCTGCCACCCGAAAGCAACGTCAACAATAATGAGCAAACGGTCTCCTCCAACCCGAATATACGACACGCCAAGAGTTAGCAGAGTGAGAAGACAGCCCAGCGTACACGTTGGTAGATGCGTCCAGACACCGTTCGAGTGGACAATAGTGTCGTGTACTCGGACCGTTCCGTAGTACGATGGTACTAAATATGTCGGGTGACGAGTGCGAAGCAGAATCAAACGCATCCATCCCAGCGACAGCCAGCAAGAGATGCTAAATGACTTGTTGAGCTCCTGCTCCAACCAAGGCGGTGACAATGACGTTGCGGTCGAATGGGAGCTCGTTTTCCAAGTGACGTTAGGAAATCGTTGGTTTGCGACAGTAATAAATGTGTATTGTACTAGACTATTTCTCCTACTACGACTAAGGTACCAAGAATACGTACGCTCACGAGATCTCGGACCACGACGGGCGGCTCTGCGATTCGTCGTGGAGAGGCGGCTTGACGAGGTCCAGCACGACCCTTCGGTTGAGCCAGACGAGCTCCAGCGTCACGAGGAGCGCGAAGAGCGCGACGTACCCGACGCCCTCGACGTAGTCCCGACGCAGCACCGCCATCTTGGCGCCGTAGCACTCGCCTTGGAACGGGTGCGGCGTCTCCTCGTACAATGTCCGGCTCCACACGCCAGGCACGCTGTACACGGCGCAGTAGACCGCGCGAACGTCACCAACCTCCAGCGGACACTGTGCACGCAGCCAGTCGCGGACGA